GATTCTAATATAAATGAAAAAAGATGAAACAAGCAGAAAAAAGAAAAAATTAAGCGATCCGAATACACTATTATAACTTGTGCCAGGTGATTTAAAAATTATATACCAGATGCAACATTTGTATATCTCTACTGAAAGTCTAAGCTTAACTTTAAAATTCCTTTCGACCCAATTCCGAATCTTTTTAATAACCTAGTCCGTATCTCAAACCAAACGCTGCTGCAGTACTAGGATCCGACTCTCTATATACGGCGCCAATGACAACAAGGACGTGACATTTTCATAAAGGCGCCGTCACTCGGGTACTCGTATCTCAAGCCACTTGGTGCTGCCACCAGGGGTTCCTTTTTTGACTGGAACTTGATCCAGGGCCCGTACAATGTATTCGTCTCTAAACACGTGGTTGCTATCTACCGGTCCATCCGGATTTGGTAAGTAAACAATACTGATCTTTTGAAGGAGGTAAGCCAAATCCCACTTTTTAGAAAAATTTTTGGAGACTAACAGAAAAAATAACAAGAGGTAAAGAGAGACCACTTGAGCTTCCAACCAATTTAAAGAAGTGTGAGTTTTTTTTTCTACAAACAAAACCCACTGCCCAACACCTGCTCAACCTTTTTTTCGGTGAGTGATAAACTCTAGACTTGTTGGCAGGTAGCATATGAGAACTACCTCTAAACGACAAGTGCCGAGACTATGCAGTGAGTAATAAACTCTAAGCCTGTTGGCAAGTAGCGTATGAGAACTACTTCTAAATGACAGGTGCTGACTTATTGTCTAGGTTTTTAGGTCAAGTACTGGCTTGTAAGGTCTTTTTTGCAGTAAATGTTTTTCAGAAAATATGGTTCAAGTAATCGTTGGAAAGAGTTCTTGTGACGGTTTTAATATTAGTTTAATAATATTATATATTATATATATATTTTAAAATAAACTTACTTTTTATTTTTATTTTGTTTTTCTCCATCATTTTTATCAAATTTTCATTTTAAATCTCTAATTTTTTCAACCATATCTCTAATTGCTAAAGCATTATTTGTTCCAAGATTAATAAATCGATATGCTTGAATAAAATCTAATATCACAGCACAAGATTCTCTTAAAAACCCTTTATCTCTAGTTGGGTTAAATTTGAGTCCAAGAAGATATTTTTTATCTTTATGTCGATCAGTCATATATTTTAAATGTCGCAATGGTTCATTAATATCATTCACAACAACAATTCAAAAAAATCCAGTATTAAATTGAACAAATGTTGGTTTATTATTTGTATTATCATTATTAAAAGCTGTAATACACTAATTTTTTTCAATACGCCAATTAAAACATATAGTTGTTTCATAATCGCATTTGGAACCTTCAATATTTTGTATTTTTTCATATACTATGTTAAAATTTCTTTTTACACGACTATCAACAAGATTGCTCAAGTTTTCAAATACTGCTGATGATGGTAAGCTAGCATTTTGTCCAATATCTCTATCTTGAGTTAATTGACAAGTATTATCTTGCTTAAGTATTAATAATCTAACTCTAAATGATTTTCTAATTGGATTAATTACATATATATCATTTGCATTCTGTCCGCCTTGTCCTTTTGCTAGAGAGAAAACATATTTATTTTCTATATTTCCTTCTTCAACAGTCAATGATTGAATACTATTATTAACATGACCAAAAATTGTTAATTTAAATATTTAATAAAAATCTAATATATGTTTTGTGTGAGTATTATTGTTAAATGGTATATCTTGAAATAATAGTTGACTAAGATAATATTGTTGTGGCCAGAATAAAAGAGTATTATGGCCATCAGAAGTTATAGCAGGTGTATTTATATTTGCTCTATTTCTTTTGCATTGAATAAATGAGTTATATCGTGTTTGTTCTTTTTCATAAGTTTTAATACCACATTCTCATTCAATATTTAAAAGGTTTTCAGTTAATAAAGAACAAAAGTTTACTTCTGGTTTTGCTATTTAATATTCTTCTAAACCAACTGTAAAATAATTTTGATTTGTTGATTGAAAACAACAGATACAACTAGAATTACAAACTCCTAGTTCTTTAGTATAACAGCACTGACAAGTGTTATTACAGTTTTTTTTTACTAATATTGCTATATTATTCTCTTTAAGTTTTACTAGTTTTGGTTTTTTTGTTATTACTTTTTTTTGTATTGTTTTTTGTTTTATTGTTATTTGTTTTCTAGTTTTTTTCTTTTTTTGAGTAGGCTTACTTGCCAATTTCTTTTTTGTATTTTTTTTAAAAGCCACTTTTATTGATATTGATCAATGAATTAGATAAAAAATGAGATAGCTTTTGTAATAAGAGTTGATAAAATTTGTTGTAAATTATTAATAGAAATTAAGGTAAAAATATCTTTGTAAAAATTTATTAAATAGAAAATTGCTAAAAATAAAATTAAAATAATTTCTAATAAAATTATAAAGAAAAGTAAATTATAAAGATTTGATTTATCCATGTATAATTATTTTTATAAATTGGTCTATTTATATATTTTTTTGTATAAATATACAAGCTTTTCTTTATTTAATATTAAAAATGAAAGTTTTTTTATTTTTTTTAATATTGACAATTTTATTAACAATTAACATTGTTGAATCGAGAAAATACAAAAAAATTGAAAGAAAAAAATATACAAGATTAGGATGTGGGTGCAATTTCTTGTAATTTTTTTGATATTTTTATTATTTTTAAGTGATGTTGGTGCTAAAGTAACTAGAAAAAGACATATATTACATAAAAGAGTTGGTAGACCAAGAAGTAGAAAAAATAGTTCAAGAGTTGTTGTTCCAAGACCAAAAGGTTCACGTTATGCTAGAACACCTGTATTAGCTTAACCAAATACAGTTATTAATAAGTTAATAACTTGGAATAGGGGTAGATATAGAGATATATTAAATCAAAATGGTAGGGTTACAAATCAATATAAAGGAGGAATTTATGTTGAGAGAATTGGAAATAATGGTCAAGTTCGTTATTCACCAGTTCATAAATTACCAGAAATAACTCCTAGATCTAGAAATGAATTCTAATTTAACAGAAGTTAATAGGATTCGAACACTGGGTGGTACTGGTGGAGTCTAAAGATTTTTATTTATTTATTTTATATTATATATTATATTTTTATTTTATATTATATTATATTATTTATTTATATTATCGGTTATATTATTATAATAAATAAATTAAACCAATTATACGTACATTTAAAATTGATTATAAATACATAATGCATGTGTATGATTTACTAAATTGAGAAGGATCATATATATTAAATATATATTTAATTTACAAATGTTATAAACTAAACTTTATATTATCAGATTTTAATCTTTATAAGAGAAGCTATCTTTCATGTAAAAAAACAAATTGAATCAAACTTAAGACAATCTTACTACTAAAACAACAAATACAATTTAATATAAAAATGTTTTCAAAATTTTTTTTTGTTATTACTCTCTTGGTTCTTTTAGGACTATTTTTTACAAATCTTTTTGCTAGTAAATATCAAATTAATATTTACCAAATTATAACTAAAATAATTTATTCAGACACATTCTTTTAGATTTTTATAGTTACTATTAATATAATAATAATTATTATTATAAATACATTATTTCAATTATCATTTTGGAGTACTGTATATGAACAATATCCAGAACAATTTATCTTTTAAAGATAACTTAATTTTATCAAATATTTCAGATAATTATAAATGGTGAATTTTATATTTTCAAAATTATATTATTGTTCAAGAAAACTGATAATTGAACAATCTAAGAAAGATCTCAAATATTGTTAAACTTTGCAAACCAGTCGCTGCTACTGGAAATTGTAGTACCAAAAACATTTTAAGAAATTTGTAAATATAAAAATAGTTGTAAAATAATAAGATT